CAATATTTTGCTCGGCAGGTAGAAAGATACCAACAATGATTTATTGATTCTTTTCATATAATTGTTTTCTGGGTTTTGGAACAGAGCAAAGAGGTCTACTGCAGATATAATAGAGCAGGTTAAAAAATGTTCTGTTTGGTTCTCCTGCACTTTTGATAATGTGCCTATTAATAATGTTATAAAATTATGCTTTTTATATTAAAGTACTTTCAAAGAAATGTGAAGGAATGCAAAACAAGGCGTTTGAAGGTTGCTTTCTGTTCTGAGATTCTTTGTTTTAATGCAGAAATCTATTAAATGGCAAAAGGTTTATCCAAATAACTACAAAGTTGCCTCTACTATATTCCTATTGGTGTAATGCTGTCATGCTATCCCTGTGGGATCAATTCTTTTATGCTCAAGCATACCTGATAAGACAATATCAACTACAAAACCAGTGCTTGCTTATACTTAGGCAATGCTACTCTTTCATTTTTTTTCATTGTTTTGTGAAGTAAAATTGCATCATTAAAAAAGGTGCTTCCATTCTGATCAGAGTGAAATGTATTGTTTTCTTTTTATATTCACCACCAAATTATTTAACTGCAGTTCCCTTGATAGTTGGAAATTTGAAGAATTCTGTCCAAAATACTGTATATGTGGGGTACTACACACTGTTTTGCAGAAGTGGCCTCATTTTGCTGTATTAAAGTGCTTTCATTGCAATCCCATGGTGGTGTAAGATTATCTCATGTACACTGGAGATGTTCCAGAGATTGAAAAGATGTCTGCCTGTTGCCTGGAGAGATTAGATCCTTGTCACCTTGTCACTGAGAAAGGCGCTTCATCAAGAGATCTCAGACCAAAAAATGGAGGTTTTCTGGAACTGTTTCTGGCTCCCAGAGAAATTTCACATGATCAAAGGCCTTATTTGCTCTAGTCACACCTTTGAATGAAAGAGCACTGACAATAGGATGGAAACCACAATGACAGACTACACTTTGCATGGGGGTGGAGGAAGCAGAGTGACATGTCTCTTGCTTTGCTGGAGGTAATTGTAAATGAAGTAGCCTTGAAAAAAGTTATAATAGATCTATTAAAGGAGATGGAGGGCTTGGGGGAGGGGGGAGAAATTACGCAGAGGGAGATGGAAGGAAATGTGAGAAGAATTTCAAAATAACCCCAACTTTATTTTGTTAAGGTAAAACAGAGAAAAGAATCCCTACCATCCTTGCTTTTTAAAAGGGTTTTCTTTGAGGAGCTGACATCAGTCTAGAAAGCTTATCCAGGGTAAAACAGAGAAACTTGGATAAGCTTTCTAGATTGATGACAGCTCCTCAAAGAAGACCCCCTTTAAGAAGCAAGGATGGTCAGGATTCCAGGAATACATATGATATTATGTACTAAAATTAACAAGGTGTGTTTTTTTTTTTGACAGCCTGTTCACATTCCCCTCTGCCCATCTTAAACGAAATCAAAGTGGAATTATTTTGAGTTTCTTTCCCCTTCCTCTCTAACTCAAAACTCTGTGATCTTTTCTGCAAGTCCCCTTTAGCAGCTCTAGCTTTTTGCTTTCCCCCTAGCCCTAACCCTTAATAGCTCTCCTACATTTCCTAAAACCAAATCTACATTCCTTTACAAGGGTTGTCAAAATTGCGGTCCGCGGGCCGGATGCATCACATGCTGGCCATGCCTGGTTTAGCGAAGGGGGAAAATGTCACGATATGTGACATGACACTGTGATGACACTGAGTTTTGACACTCCTCTTTACACTAACTTAGCAAGGCTTTGCCAAATCAGATCATACTCCATTTACTGTAATAGGGTTGCTGTGCCTGATAAGTTGCAAGAACTGATCAGGTGAGAGCTGGTTCTTACATAAATAACCATTTCCAAAATAATCAATAGCTACAGTCCTACCCTTCCTTCATTTTAAAAAAAAAAGCTTCCTCCTCTTTATATCAAAGGAGCAAAAACAACAACCCTAGAACCTTCCTTCCCTAATTTTCTGCTATATAACTTCTCATTTGAAAGAATTTGCTGGAATTCTTGTATTTGTTGCTTGAATAATCTTAACAAATCTTCCTCACTGCAGTTCTGAGGAAGGCGTTTCTTGGGACAAATGGCTTCCAGTCCAGGCTAATATCAAAATCCTGATCGACTGATATATAACAATAGCTTCTGTGGGTGAGAGAGGTGCTTAAACAAAGCATAGTTTTAAAAACTGCTGAACTATATGTGACATTCAGTAATTTGGCATATATGGCTATGTGCTATAAATATCCTTTAAAAAATTCACATAGACATGAGCATCATTTTTCATTTTTCCCAATTGAGACCCTTGAAGAAAATGCTAAAAAACATTTTCTAATCATTGTTAGTCGGCAAACAAAATGTTTCAAGGTTGTGGGAGCCACTTTTTTTCTCACACAGATCTTTTCAAGTATCCAGATGAGATGGCAAGAAAGCAGTAAAGGTATGTGTGGATGGTGGTGGTGGAAAAACTAAATATGTAAGCTATGCCATATTTTAACCAAACTCTGTTATGGCTTAGTATGAACCTAGCTACTTTGCTGCTAAAAGCCAAAATCAGACCAGATTACTGCTATATATATACGGTATTCAGCTTTGTTCGGGTATTTTCCCACGTCATTATAGTTGTGCTTTTAAAGTTGTAGCAATGTTTTGGCAGAATCTCATCTTCCATCATCAGGTTTCTGTATTGTATTCGCACAACTATAATGATGTGGGAAAATACCCGTACAAAGCTCTGAATACCATACATGTAAGTACCCACGAAAACTTAAGAAAATATGTATGTATGTATGTATGTATGTATGTATGTAATTCTTGCAGCTTCTTTCTTCCACTTTCTTTGCTTAATTTCCAGCTTCATTAATCTGGGCAGCACAAAAAGTTTGCTCATTTTGGCTCTAATGATGTTACTGTCTAATATAAGCATGCTGAACCATACAAGGTGCTAATTCAACTAGGCACAAGGCATTTTACACAAATAACATGAATCTTAATTATTGTCTAAGCTGAATATTGCAATTGAGTACAGAGTAGCTACCATTACAATTAACACTCATCAGAATCTGAAACATTGTTTTTCCAGTTCATGGTCTCACCTTAGACCATGGTTAAAATTCTTGAGTGGTAAAAGGAGTGAAATGGTATCATTTGTATTAATCACCCAAAGGAATTAAACATCTTATACAAACCACAGCTATCGGATTTTTTTCTATCAGGCCAGCTCAAGTTATTTTTTGTTAGTAATTAGTGGCCTTGTGTTCTGCTTCTACACTACAAAGAGATTTGGATAAATGCAATACTATTTCTCTGATTTTAGAATTATTGGCACCTGTTCAAAATCCTGAAGATTGATAAGAGAAGATCTTTTTAATCCTCCACAAACATCATATTTCTATTTGAGGCTTTAGAAGAGATCAAAAGTGCCATATATTTTTGTAGCTCTCCAGTGGACTCCTTATCAACTGGTTGCAAATCATCTGGATAGAGGGGATTGATAAAGGTTGAAAAAAATAATTTAAAAATCATAGTGACCTTATCAGGGCTGGTACCATCAAGGACCAGCTAGATGGCTTCATTTTCCTCACTGTCTTTCTACCCATTTCAGCCCCTCTGTCTACATATGTGCTGACTGGACAAAAAAATCCAAAGAGATGAAGCAGCAACAGCCATCCAGTTCTGTGGGAGTTCTTGTATGCAAGCAGGCAAAAGAGAAAGTTAAATTTATATTAATCCTATCTCCTAAAATTGTATGGCAATACTGGGTGAAATTAATTGACCCTGACACTAATCCTGGGTACTTTTTGTTTAACCGGGATGTGATCCCAATCTGTAGTAACCCTTTATTGTGTTTGAAAACACTGGAGCAATGAAGCCATTCTGATTTTAGAAGGATTTCTATAGCCCTTCACCTACAAACTATATATGCTCCATAAAAACATAACTTTATTCTATTATAAAAAGAGAGGCAGCCACATATAAGATGGAAGCACCTTACAGGTTTCTTGCCCTATTTGGATTGCTTAGCAACACAAGATAATGACTGCTGCATGTGTTAGAACTAGATCAAGCAAATTTTACAACAACAAAAATGATAGTATAGTTCAGTGATTTTCAACCTTTGGAATATGCTGGCTGGGGAATTCTGGGAGTTGAAGTCCAAACATCTTAGAGTTATCAGGGTTGAAAAACACTGGTCTAATGAGATTTTAACCTCTGGTGGTGACATGATTTATCTTATTTTGCTTTCTGTTCTGATTACATATATAAAGTATGAAAAACAATTAAATTCCCATTGCTTGTGCTTGGGCTACAAATATATCCAATACACAAAAATGTGTGTCTGTCGTTCACGTTTTATTGCAGAAGCAACTATGTGTTGGGGCACTCAGTGTTGTGTGAGCAGTTGTACACAAAAATGTCCTTGCTGTTGTACAAGGTAGCAATGGATTCGTGAAAATACTTCTGATTTTGTTTTGTCTTCATATTCATTTAAATCCCCACATTTATCTATAATAGAGGTATGCAGTATGTTTTGAATCCAGAATGTTTCAAGCTTGCCTTTAGTGGATAATTCTGAACATCCTGTAAATGTTTGAGCTCAAAATGTTGCCTTCAGCTAAAAAATGGACTATTTTTGCTCAGAACATTTCCAAATGAACAACACTGGGACCCTCCTGGAAGGATTAGGTAGAGTAGCTTTGGAACAACTGTTCAAACTTGAGCCATCTCAAATTTGAATTTTTTTTTATATGTTACTTACATGTATTGGTTATAAGCAAATTAAATACAATTAGAAATAGTTAAAAATATGAACGCCTTCAGCTGTACGGTTACTTAATTGAGGGGGGGGGAGGAAACATTGTTTAAATGCTAATATTTATATAAAGTCATCATTTAAAAAATATTTGTATAAGTAACATCAATTTAAAGGTGTATAATATACAGACCTATTTGAATTTCTACAAGTCTTATTTCCTTTTCCTAGCCTATGCAGCATGCCCCTGACTGCTGATTTGCTTGATAGCAAAGACATATTGGACACTTGTAGTGACAGTGCTGCTGGTTTTCCTCCTGCCGAGGGATTAGGTGAAACGTTGGAAGGGGGAGATGGTGCAAAAGAACCCCCCTCTGAGAATATAAATCTTGTTGGTAAGGCACCGTCAGTAGGGAGACACTTAGATCACTTTATTGGTAGGCTGAGTGGCTTACAACTATGTCTCTGATGTGTTCTTATACTATGAAATAAGCATTTTTAACATAACTAATGGTTTCTATTGACCATTATTGATTCCATATACTCAAAAAAATGCAGTGGCAAGTAATCTCTCTCCTTTCCCTAATAATTTCTTAGTTCAAATAGCAATTGCTGCGATTTCTTATTCTCCCCCCACCCCCTTCCCAATGCATGGGATTATTTTGTTTTAGCAGCATTTAGTAGTAAATTCCATAAGTGCTTTGCATGTCTATGGAGATTCTCAGTCATCCAGGTCATGGTTGTCCCAGAGGTGCTTTTTTCAAGAAGCAATTGGACTTTCTAGGTTTTTTTGAAGGCGTTTTGCTTCTCATCCAAGAAGCTTCTTCAGCTCTGACTGGATGATGGGGAATGGAAGGATTTATACTCCTTGCAGATAGCTGGTCATTTGCATTCTTTTAGCAGGTCATTAAGGTCACCTGGAGATTTATCTGAAATACACTAAGGCAGAAGCTTGTCCATCCCAAGGATAAAACACCCAGACAAAAACAGAGCACTGGTATATGCAGTACAATGAAGTGAACCATCTGCAGATCTGTACATTGGGGAAATGAAACAACCACTTCATAACAATGCACGGCACAACATAGGAGAACAAACACATCAGGACTAGATTCAGCAGTCCATCTGCATTTAAAAGACCAAGGCCGCTCCTTTGAAGACAACAAAGTCCACGTTTTGGACAGAGGACCATCTGGTTTGAAAGAGGGGTTAAGAGGCCATCTATGTCAAAACTGAACAGCCCTCTCTCAACAGAGGGGGAAAGATACAACATCATCTATCTTCAGTCTACAACACAGTCCTTTCAAGAGTTCCAAGAAGGCTTCACACCAGTGTGCACCATTCAGATGACTCTGATAACACAGATAAACCTCCAGGTGACCTTAACAACCTGCTAAAAGAATGCAAATGTCCAGCTGTCTGAAAGGAGTATAAAGATTCCATTCCTCACCATCCAGTCAGAGCTGAAAAAGCTTCTTGGATGAGAAGTGAAATGTCTTCAAAGGAAAAAAAAGAAAAACGAGAAAGTCCAGTTGCCTTTTGAAAAAAGCACCTTTGGGATAAGTGCTCTGCAGTTACCAACTTGCACAGTCCTATGTTCAGGGAAGTGCAGGCATTAGCCAAGCAACTTATTTGCCTAAAACCTATTTTGTCATGAGTTATTCTTCTTCTTGTAAGTAGCAATTTGTTGTCCCTGTAATGACTGAAAATTTCCCAAACCCTCAAGCTTTCCTTGGAATTATCTCTTCCAACCTACTAGATATGTAAAATTATTAAATTTTCCAAAGATTTTCGGATGATGTAGCTACAAAGTACCTCTTAACTGTGATTGTATAGAGAGTCTAAGAGCAAATAACAGTTACAGATAAGATAAATCTATTTTTACTGTGAAAGCAATGTCAAGGGATGAAATGCCAAAAATTTGTAGAGCTTTATATCAATCTTGGGTTCTGTATATTCAGTTTCTTTCTTCCTCTCTTCTAGTTGATGAACCATCCCTGAAACTGAAGCACCTGGAAACTGAGTTCACTCCCGTATTGGTTTCCCAGTCCAATATAAACATAAATGTCAGCAAGCAGGTATTGCATACTTTCTCTTCCCAGAAACATGGGGTCAGGGTTTTTGCTATATCTGCTGTTTCCCATTATGTTTTTGTTCATGCAAAAGATAAAAACTGCTATGTTTTGCATCTTAGCGACCATGTGTGGTAATTTGAAAGTCTGCCAAATTGGCAGTGCCAAGCTCATGAAGGGCATGCTGGCACAGAAGGGAGCAATTAGTTTTTAATTAGGCAGGCATTCCAATCTCTTTTGCTTCTGGAATGCAGGGAACGATAAAAGCTTAACTTCACTATATTTTCTATGTGTTTAGGAAGAGTAATACTCTGTATCTACATCTGCATCTCTTCTAAAGGACATTCTGTAATGAGCAGTAGGTGGAAAAATGTGTTTGAAAGAACAAGCTTAAGCTATATTGACATGGCAGAATGTTGGAGAAGCACAATCAAAAAAGTATTTTGGGACCCCCACAACAATTTTTCTTTCATGTCAGAGGCTTAGTTCATTTCTAAAAGCTTTCAACAAAAAAGATTAAAATTCTACTTATCAATGTATTCCTAAAACATAATGTTCTATATACAATAATTAAGTTAAAGAATCTGAGCTTATCTCCTCAATCATCCTGTTTTTAAGTATAATAATGAAAACTCTGAGGGTGAGGCCAGGCAACTGCATGATACACTTTCTCTGGATGCATTTCAAGTCATCCTTGGACCTGTGCTTAAGCACTGTGACACAGTCAGCTAAAGTAGGATTAATGCCCTTAGCTAAAATAAACACTAGGCAGTTTTCAGGAGGGCGATCTGACCTGACAGGTGCTTTTCTCCTTAGAAAAAATAATTACCCTAAGAAAAATACTGCTTCCTGTCATTTGAGACAAGTAAATATTTATTGTGAGATGAGATAGTTTACCTTGCTGAGTTAGCTCTATTAAATTATGGCAATCTCTAAAGGAAAAGGTCTCATAAGACATTAAATATGTGTTCCAAGCACTGAATCAGGAATCCATATATTCATTTGTTTGGTTAAAAAACAGGAGGATAAATTTTGAAAACTAAACAGAAAAAATAAGTAACTTTTACTTTTCTCCTTTCTACCCAATTTTGCTTAAGTAGTGATGAAACCTGATTTGGAGTGAAAACCTTAAATCAGTGATGTTGAGGAGGGTACAGATAGAGAACAATGGAAAATCTTAATTCTGTTATTTTGGGGGGGCAAAGGAAATTTATATAGAAATTAATTTTAGCCATATAATATAGAAAAAAATATATTTTACATGTGAATACTGAATGGAAAGCTTGGGAAATATCTTTCTGTGGTATACATCAATATGTTGAAAGTTGATTTAATCGATCCCGCCTGACGCAAAGTTCTATAAAACAGTATTTGCCTCTTTTGAATTTTCAAAAATTTTGCATGTTGTTTTGACTGGGTATTATCAGACGTTCATGTGGGTTCTTTGTATTTAGTGCTTCATTTGAGTTATCTATTAGCAGGCTGCCAATATGAAAAAAAAATTAGTTGCCTCTCCCTAGTTCAGTCTGTTCAATCAAAGTGATAACTAGGGCCAGTTGTATAAGCATTTCATTAAATAATTAGAGCTGATGTAGACCAACCCTGTTCAACATAAATTTCACAAATGCTGGCTCTCGTCATCACAGTGATATTCTTACCACACAGTTTTATGGCATGTCATCCCCCTTTCCAAATAAAATTATGGAGACCTCCATTAAAAATCATTAATATCGATTAGAAAAAGTTACAAAAAACAATTTCTAAAGCTAAGGAACTCTAATAGTCCACAAGCAAAATTCTAATCTTGCAGTGATAAGGTTTATAATAGTGAAACATCCAAGGAGTACTTCATCCATCAAAATGATGTAAAAATAATTCAGGAAATCACAAAAAAAAAAATCAGAACAATCTGCAAATCTCTCTCAATGTAACTAAGGTACTAGATAAAAATCTGTCCCTGAGAAAGTAGCAAGATGGAAGCCATTACTCATTAAGAAGAAGAAAACTGATGCTCCTCCTAAGTTTGTCAAAAACACACCTGGATGACCTTCTGCATTCCAGGGGGAACATTCTATGGACAGTGGAACTTCTGAACTGATTTAGATGTTACTGTGCCTGGTAGAACCCAAACACACATTTTACAATAAAGAATGTTATACCAGTGCTTGGACGTGGAGATGGCAATGTCATATTTGGGAAATGTTTTACTACGTTAGAAAGGAAACAAATTATGCTTTGAATTGGAATTTTACAGGAAAATATCAAGCTATTTTGTGTTGAAACTGAAACTTAAAACTGGCCCATACACCAAGAATGTGCTCCCAAGCATACCAAAAATCTGTAAGAGAATGGATGCCGAATACATTTAATGGTGTGGATTAGCCAACTCAAAGTCCAGACTAAACCCCATAGAAATACTGTAAAATGTTCCTAATGAATGATTAATGCTATAAAATCCTCAAATGTTACTAAGTAGAAGTTGTTGACCATGCAATAATGGGCCATAATTCCTGAGGTGAGGCCATGAATCCTCATGGCCGTATTACGGCCATGCAATAATTGACCATCATTCCCGAGGTAAGGCAGTGATTAGTAATTTACAGAACAGATTTAGTTGAAGTTAATTGCAGCTAAGGCAGTTCAACCAATTACTAAATATTAAGGGTTGTTCACAATGGCACATCACAGGTTGAATGACTTTATAAACATAAATAAACACTCAATTCAGATGTTTATTCACTCAGGCTGTCTTTTTCACTAAGGCCTTAGTGAAAGGCTACACAAATTGAGTAAATAAGTAAAATGAAGTTCTGATAACATAGGCTTTGAAATATATGCAAAAATTCAGAAAACCCAAGTATTTTCTTTGTAGAACTGCATAGCAGGTAAGTGCACTTATAAATTAGCCCTGTTTTGTAAGCCTTTTGAGGATGTTCCACCTGTGTGTAAGTTTCTGAGCCATAGCAATTGTCCACGGTTTATATATGTACTGTACAATTCAACAGTGAAGAAATATTATTTGCTTTCCAGGTTTTCAGCATTTTTGTGCTAGATAAGAATAGAAAGAAAAATGTTCCTTATTTTATAGGAAGCTTTTATCTTCATTAAAACTGGAATATTACCTATAAGATTAGATACCAAAATTATTTAGTTACTGAGGAAAAGAGCCATATATAGATAACTTAGTCTACTAATGCACACAATGGCTTGGTCTTATCTCCTTAGTATAGTTTCTGTTCTGGAATAGTTTTAGTGCTGATTAATCCTATATTTCAAATGGAAACACATAATACGGCAGAGTCCTGGTCCAAAGCATATATATTATGTGCTGGCTGTGGAAGCTGTATTAATTCCTTGTATGTGGTGTTCTTGCTGACTGTTCGCCTAATGAGGAATGCTGTTTATAAGTGTAGTTTTGTTTATTTCTAGGAGGAAGTTGTGAAATTGACAGATAAATGCCTGAACAATGTAATTGAGAGCCCTGTGAACACTTCTATGCGGTTGCCTCCAGACATTAAAAGTAATATTTTGAAGGCCCAGGTGGAGGCGGGGCACAAAGTAAGAATTTTGCTTCTGTAGTGATTTTTTTTTAATATAAAAAAATAACTTTAATTTTCTGTAATACTTTGAATCAATATTGATACTTTGTTTATCCTTAGTCTCTAATTTACTTAAGATAATGTAAGCATCTGTGCAGAACCTGTTCATAATCTTCTGTCACCTACAGATGTGTTGATAGAAACCCACTCCCTCCATCTGTTCTACATGAATAAGTGTTTTCTCAGTAGATGGGAGTGGGATGTGTTACACTGCTGGAGGCTTAAGCAAATCTGAGAATACTGCTGAAGAGAACGCTTGGGTGAAGTCATAGCCATTTTTATGCTGAATCCTCAGAAACAGAAAATAGAAAAAGGCTTCTTATCATCCAACTCTAAGGAAGGAGGCCTGTGCTAGAGAGAAATTGCCACTAGTATATTCAGCCTGGTCTTTGAAACATTCCAAAGCTTACTGAAAAGTGTCTTAAGATAACTTGCCACAGCCAGCTAACTCACCCTGGGAAACTCAGTGCCAGACAACTTGCCCAGAATAACTCGATGCAGCCAATTTGATGCAGGATGATTCGACATCAAAGAGGGATAACTCTACTGTTATCTGCCACTATTTCTTTGACATTATCTCAATTTTTGTCATTCACATTTCATTTTGTCCCTTCTTGACAAAATCATTTCTTTAATGATTCTATTCCACCATTTTTTTCAACATTTCTTGAATAATATCTCACCTTGAGTTATCCCATTGCGAGTTGTCCTGCAGCGAGTTGGCTGAGGCAAGCCAGTCCCAGTGAGTTGTCCCATTCCATAGTGAAAAAAGCAAGAAATGGCTGGGCTCAGCCAATTTCTCTGGATTAACTTAGTGCTATGTTGAGAATATCTGTAAAGGAAGAGGGTTGCTGTTTCTTATCCCAACATCTACCACCTAACTTTGTTAAGTGGAGGCATCATAATCAATCTTCTATCATCCAGAACATTCTCCAACCAGGCACAATGGGAGCAGAAAACTTGGATGCATGTCATATCCTGCAGTGGTATAATGCATTTTTAGGAACACATAAGAAATGGCAGAGAAAAGCACTTGTGTAATGTTAGGCTGCATTGCCTTTGACCTTTCAGGGGAAAAAAGGTTTTAGATTATATCAGCAATAAAATTAATTTTTCTGAGTTGTAATTGTGTTTCTTTTAGGTGGTGAGGGAGGGAAGCATATCTGGCAACAAGAACACCAATATTCAAGATACAGCTGGAAGGTATCAATATGGAGCTTGAAATGTGCTGAAGATTTCTGCTCTGTGGTGTGAGCAGGTTCCTGTACCCACTTAATAATGGAAGAAGCCACTTGTAACAAAGTTATTGTAAAACTGATGTTAGTGGTTTTTAAATGCCTACAGAATAACATTTTGGCGGGAATATTATTAACCCAACTTGCATTACTGTGGTTTAGTCTTGTTTCTGCTTAGTCCTTAAAAAGGGGGCCCTGTGTCTTATTCGACTGAAATTCTAGAAAATTGAATATCCTTATCTAGCCCAGAGAACAAATTCATTGGGACAGATTATTCTGTTGCTTAAGAAGGTGGCATTGATGATAAACTCCTGTGCCTTGCACCCCTGTCTTGGGTATCTTTCTGTCAAAAATTGTGGGGGGGAGGGAGTGTCAGAATGTAGAGATGTGACATACTGGTAGTCCTTGGGTTACATCCATTCATTCAGTGACTGTTCAAAGTTACAGTGGTGCTGAAACAATGGACCTATGACTAGTCCTTGAAGTTCAGGCCACTCCACATTTATAATCAGCAATCTGTTGCCTCCACCACTGCATTTACCTATGCTTCTAGCACCTGCTTGGGCACTCATCCCTCTGGCCTACGTTCCCTAGTATCTGTCCATAGTACCCACCCTAGCTGTCACCCAGAAACCTGCTTGGGGCTTCCGCTACTTCTTGCTTAACAAGCTATGTTGTCCTGTTGTTACAACTGCAACAGCCAGGATTACTTTGCCAAGCATTACAAATTCTAGTCCCAATTGCCCTTGTAAGCCAAGAACTACCCAAATAAATCCCTACATCCTTTTTCATTTTAATAAAGGTGTGGTTAAAGTTGATGTGTGTTTATGAGAGAGAGCACTAAACAATGTAAATCTAAATCTCTCCAGTCATAATTCTGCACTGCTTATAGAGATGTATCGCATCACACACCACCTCCTTGTATTGATAGTCTGGCAGAAACACAAAACGTGAGGTAAATATGCTTATCCAGTTGCAGTTTTCCTAGGTTATTCATGTCCCTTTTTCTTGCCTCAATACCAATATCCACAATGACAAAATATTTCCAGGAAATGGTTTGCATTAAGAGAGATCCAAGCTGCTTTTTTTTTTTTTAATGCTGAAAGAATGTTCTTGGCAACAATGGAAAAGAACTCAATTGTTTCATTTTTGGCTCTGCATTGTTTAGAAGCGTTTTTCCATCAGGAAATGAGAAAAACAGCCCCCTGAGAACCCTCAGCCCTGTCTGCCAGGATCCACTGGAGGGACTAAAAGTGATCCCAGTCACCAATGCCTTCATTCTGTAAGTCCTCTTGTGGGTGTGTGGGGCGGGGGTTATTCCCACTGGAAAATGGGAATGCATGAAAATCTGGGACAAAATAATCAAAGATCATTTTATGGACCACTTGACGAGCTCACTCAGTTAATTCTGGTAATTTTCAGTCATGCTTTTCTGTGGGAAACCAAACAGCCATCAATGTTGAATAGAGGATATGTGCCCCTCTACTGAATATTGCTTCTTGTTGAATTGGCAAAAGAAAGACCCCTTCCTGAACCTTAGTTTTCCAATTACTGAAACGATTAAGTGAATTTTCATAGTTGGCAGGAGAAGCATCAAGATATGCTCTAATATAGGAATGAAATGATGTAATTCCAGAATAATTTAAAAAACATTTATTGGTTAATCAATTTATATGAATCTGCTCTTTATTTTTGATGTTGTAGACTGGTAGTTAAACTGTTAGACTTCCTTGCGGCAGAAGCACTTTTCTGTCACTCTGTGATAGAGAGTTGGATATTTTTTTATTCCTTCTACTTCATCACTGAAAGCATGGAGAACAGCAGAACCACAGATTCTGGCAAGAGTGCGCCAGTTGAACCCTAAACTAAGCAAGTTCCCCCACTATCATACTGTGCCTCAGGACTTAGCAGGAAGGCAAATTATTTGGGCAGCAGCTCCTGTGGTCAACAGTTCATATGGCACTGATTTGCAGGAATTGCAAGTGACAGCAGTTCCCTCACACATGCTCTGTATCATGACATCTTTACACCTTCCAGGAATGAATTCAGTGAGAATACTAGTGCCCCTGAGTCCAAAGATTGTGCAAATCCTACCGATCTGGTTCCTAGAGAAGAGGATGTTCTTGTAAAGGTATGTTGCTTCTTTGTGGCGAGCAGCGTGGGTCTTTAGAAGCGCAAGATGAGAAGTCCCAGGCAAATTGCTTGTGTTAAATGAGTTGTGCAATTTCTGTAATTTTGCATGAAAATGGAAAATGAGATCTTGGCAAATGAGATCTTTTTCATGCAAGGATTTTCACTATCAAGAGAAGGAAAAAGGGCAAGGAAGGGAAGAAAAGTCCTCCATGTCACCAGTCTGCTCTTTCCAATATATAGATTATCCCCAAATAGAAACGCTATTCATTAAACCATAATTTGGTGTTATGTATAGAACCTTTCAATTGGGGGGGAAGAATGGTTGGAACTGGAAATATAAAAATCTGATGATATATTAAAATATTAATTAAAATTGTGGAAATATACATCAGCTTTGAATCGTGGGAAGCACAAAAGGAGGAAGCCATTCATATGAATTTATATTGCAAGCAAATCCTGTTTTTAAAGGCATTTTTCAAAGATTGAAGTGCCAGATATTTTATAAAATTGGGGGGCGGGGGGATGTAGAAATTTTTTTACATCTAATTTAAGTCCACTGGTTTGTGCATGCTATTTTACAAGACTCAAGAGCCAGTTTGGTGTAGCAATAAAGGAGTGGAGAGTGGGGCACCATGAGTTCTAACCCTCCCTTAAGCCCAGAGTCAAGTCACTCTTTTCTCAGCCCAACCCACCTCACAGGGTGGTTGTCATAGGGCCAATAGAAAGAGGAAGCCACTCATTTATTGCCTTAAACAGTACAGATTAAAAGTGGGTTATAAATCTAATAAGTTACTGAGTGCATTGCTTCAATTGACATTGTCGCTGAAATTTAAATCCATGTATGTCAGAGCCTAAAATGTGTTTGACAAAGGGAAACGGTGATGTTGGGCAGCACTCATAACATCAGTCATAACCTTGTAGCTTTTTCAAAAGTGAATGAATCTTTACAAAACAGTCTGGAACTTTTCTCTAATTAAGCATAACTTAACTATTCCATTTTGCAGAGTTCCCCCGAGAGCATGGAGATTTTGTTGACATCACAGACAAAGAATTTAATTGACTTCACAGAAGCCACGCCTCAGGTAAGAGTAAAAATTAAAACGTAGATGTTGTTTCATTGTGTAATTTGAAAATATAATTAGTACTTCCATTGTCTCTACCTCTAACTCTTTTTTATTTTCAGTAAAGCTTCTTTGAGCTGGTGTTTCATGGTTAGTTTAGTTGATATGACACTTGGCTACAATATTATGAGGTTTACAATATTACAATATTATGAGGTTTTTTTATGTTTCTTTTACTTTTAGGTGCCTTCACCAATAATTATGCCCAGGTGGTTAGTGCCAGTAAGTTATTGAATAATCCTTATAAACAATTAATTTTTGTATTCTTTTGTACGTCCGTGTCTTATTATTAGTAAGTCATTCAACTGTTAAGAAGTGGTACAAATCAGTATTGATTAAGATAGTGTCTAAAAGTCTGCCATTTCTATTGCATGATGGATAATAAACATTTTCAGCTTTATCAAAAGAAACCATTGGCCACCTGGAAGTGGCCCTTAATTCTTCTGAAAAAAGGCAGGACTTCCCACTCCATTCTTCAGTCAGGTTCCTTCCTTGTGGTTATGATTGAAAATTATTCCCCTTACTAATTCGGAACTACTGTATTTGGAGGATCTGTATATTCTGATCTGTCTCCAGGCTACCTTCTCCCTTGAAGAGTGATTGAAGGTGACCAATTCAAGGGCTTTATCAGGCTTTGCACTGCACTTCCAAGGCTGCATCCCAAAAACATAACCAGGTGTCACCCCAATTTGGGAGGAGGGAAATTTGGGAGGTTGTTAATGGGTGTGGTAAGTTTTTTTTTTTTTTTGGAGGTTCAAGAACTCATTTTGCTTCTTCCCTAACCATCGCTCAAAACTGACGATGATGCTAAAACATTTGATGCTGGGGTGCATATTTCACCCCCAGAAAACCTCCTTCCGATAAGTCCTGCTAGTTAATGGTTTTTATAAATTTTATCTTGACCATTATCCCAATCCAAATTGGTCATTATCCCAACCATTGTATCTCACAAATTGGAAGGAAAAGCTATGAAGGAGAAAAGATAGCCTGAAAGAAAACATTGAAGGACAAGGGATTAATTGAGCATTTATTCCACATATTAATCCTTATCTGATATGGCATTTGCATTTGATAGACATGCACATTTGCTGACATGTATCAAAACAACCGTACCTCAATCACTTTTCTGACTTTCCTTTGGTTTTCTTTATAGAGTGGACTGACTTCTAATGGGCCTCTGGGAAATGATGTTACTTTATCTCTTAAGACAACTAAAATAAACACTGAAGCCCTATTGGCTACTGACTTATCACCTCCATTGTACCCCTCTGAAATCACACCCAGGTAAGGATTTGCTTTTCATGAAAGTAAAGCAGTCCTCCCTTTCCCAGTCTGTTATCTTCCACATGTTCTAGCCAGCTAGTCATCATGGGAAGTTAAGTCTACAACATTAAGAACATTTGAGGAACAATGGTATGCTGAAGGAATTGTACAAGTTTCAGATTATTGTATATAATGTATAGTGCATGTCTTACATAACCTCTACAAAACAATACTTGCTGGATTCTTATTAATCCAATTCTTCTGTTAGGTGTTGTGAACACTGTAATATGTTGCAATTCCCAAGCAGTCTGTTAAGTCTGCCAAGTTTCACTGGTAATTTTCTGGTCCTCTTTGTGACTCAACTTTAGCAATGTAAGAAAGTAAGAACATTGTATCTGACGTTCCATTTATAGTGAGTAAGTTCATTAAGATGCTTTTAGAGGTGGGCTGTCATTGGGTATATGATACAAACATTTCTCTGTTCATAAATACTTTTTAAACTATATTTGCTCTGTGCATCAGATACTTTAAATTACAGTGTTTCTGAAAGATAATGTGGATATTCGATGACCTTGTGTAGCTGCAGGGCCTGAAGGATAAAAGGTTGGAGATACCCAATCCTTACTCCAAGACCACACCCCCAACCCTTGCCTCCTGCCTTGGTTGCCTTCTGATCAAGAGGTTGGAGGAGAACTGTTGCTCTTTTCCAACCCATCTATGCTGGAATGTAGCTTTCTTGATTGTTTCCCCTCCTGCCACAAAACTAATTGCATTTTCCAAAAAAAAAACACCTGGAGAAGGAGGGGGTTGTGGATATTTCCTTTGGTTGTAGGCTGAGATTAGCACCCCTCAGGGAGATCCTGCTTAAAACTTTTCCAGACAGGGAATATATCTCTACTTTGGGAATGCTACGTGACATCCCAACATGCTTGGAATTGTTTGCTTTTCACTTGACCTTTAAGTGAACATCAGTCAGGTACGATTCCAGGATAGGCTTTCTGTTTATCATCCACCCAAGTTTATGCATATTTCTTTTTCTTCACAGTCCTGTTACTGAAGATACTACTCGACAGAAATGTTTACTCACCACTGAACTCTGAGCTTCAACAAATCTAATTTCCTAGTGTAAAAGACTTACCTGAAATTAAGCCATGCTTATGCCATGGTTAACAAAGAATGGTTGCTTTACGGTAAATCCTTCAACTGGAACTAAGAGTATGATTTTAGGACACAGAGCTGCTGGGAAACCTGAGTATCTCTTGCAAAATAGATGGGAACAAATTCTGAGATGACATGAAATCCTCAGGGTTTTCATCCATTAAAATGCTTTTGCTAGAGAATTCCTTCCTGGTTTATAGGTGCAAATGAAAATGCTCACAGGGATAAGCCGCCCCCCCCCCCCCCCCCCCGGCTTAAACACAGTTATGGGAAGGCTGGCGGCGACTGTAAAAGAAAATAGCAGTGACATTTTTACAGTCCTTTTTTTGTGGCCATCTCTTTTTATCTCCTTTTGTATTGTTACCTAGCAAATCTTCTTGATTTTAATCTTGTTTCTAGACTCCACACTTTCGCTAATCATCTGTGGAAGTGAAAATGCAGCACCTTGATTGCAATTTATTCTGCTGGCAGATACTCTCATAAACATGTCAAAGCTACTACATGTGTGCATGGATGACTTTCACGATTTGTTGCATTAAGTCACTAAAATATTGCTAGGTAGACAGTGCATCTGGTATGGGGTCCTTGGTGCTTTCTGAGCTTAGTTGTTTTCTTGCAGAAAACATACTTGTTCTCTTGGCCTGTCAGTATTAGTTGGAAAGGTCTTTGTGGTTTCTTGATTCGGTTGTTTGCTATTAGCTTATTTGTCTGAGTTGGTAGTTCCTTGATTGGGGTTTTCTTTACTTCTTGATTGTTGGTCTAGTGTTAATCTCTGCTCATCTTTGTATTGATTGCTGGTGATGAACTGTTTTGGTCTTTTTGTTTCTTTTTTGGTTGTTTGATTGTCTTTAGACAGGATAAGACACTAATATGTATAAAAAAAAAACCAAAGTCCACTCTCTTTAGCACTGATGATGCTACCTAGTTTGGTAAAAAAAAATGTCTGCAAGAAAACAACCAAGTTCAGCCATGAGCTATAGATATTCTCCTGTATCAGTGAACCTAGTTTCTGCTAGATTAGGTTGAAGTGCTAGTCTGCTTTGGGCTTTCCACTAGCTATTTTTTAGAAAGTTCTACGGTTTGTGCAGAAATAATCTGAGACTTTTAAAATCGCTTCAAATGCATACAGTGAGAATTTGCTGTCCTTTTTGTGTGCTCCATTCTGTACCTTTCTTCAAGTCTACTTAGTAATCTTGTAGTTGGAATATGTATTTCGTTCATAACTGGAAAATTAAAAATATACCAAGGTTATGCCAACTTTCCTATATTAGATGAGTAGCTATTTATATATTGGATTCCTTCCTTTGTGCATTAAACTGCTGATTGAACTAGTTTGAACTAAACCTATATTCTGTTACAAACTCGGGGGAGGGGGGAGGGGACTAAGCAAACCCCAAGTTTAATTTATGCTTAGAATTTTTGAAAACAAAAAATACCCTTGGGCTTGTGCAGTTAAGATTTATTCCTGTGGGTCAGGCATCCAACTCATCCTGCATCTTCTGTCCCTTTTTAAAACAAGCAAGGAAATTGTACAACGCCTTGATTCTGATTCTTCCAAAACGGCTCTGTTTGCTGTGCATGATTGAAATACTAATCTAAAGTCTTAAAGTCATTTAAAAACACGATTTATTACTTCTCCATCTGTTTCTGATGGAAGACCTATAAGCATTTAGGCAAGAAAGCGAGTAAACCTGAGTGCCATGAATTTCTGGATGAACTCTGAAGGGAAAAGCAAAACGGCCCAGTCAAAAGCTTCTTTCATAGTGGAAGTGATGTTAAAAATGCAAATGTCCCTCCTATTGTTGCTGCTTGTGAAATAACACAAGCTACTTTCCTTTGATCTGCGATACTTGTTTTAAGCAATTGCTTCATAAAATAGTATAATGGGAAGGGGGGAGTGGGGGGGGAGAGGGAGGGGTACTGAGGCAAATAGCATCAATAACCATGGGAACATACCCTGATTACCAGACCTCAGGAGGCATGACTTTGAAATAGCTTAGGTAACATTTAATTGGTTATTGACTTTTCAGACATTTCCCTGAGCCAATGTTTTTATGAACCTTACCTGCATTTTTACAAAGGATGAAAATATTTAGGGTGACACTATCTTAATTCTCGATGTAAGAATGAGGAGAGGTTGGAGAACATGGTAGTGTTTGCCTATTATCCAGAAAGATAGCTTTGCTACCTTGAATTGTCTGGATAATCCTAACCACTAGAATTTTGTGCGCTGACCTTTTTTTTTTTTTCATCCAACAGCTGTTGTCATTGTATTTTACTAACCTGATGTACTGCTGTGACAAAAACAAAAGAAATTAAGAGAGCTAGTTTTCAGTTTTGCTTTTTTTAAAAAAGAAATATTAGGAATTGTTCTTATAGTATCACTGCTCATTGGGCAATATATTGACTGTTTTGATCCTTCCTCATTTAACTGACAGAATTTTCCAAAACACATAATCCTATTTTCATTTTTAAAAAAAGGAAACTAATGTGGTATAGAAAATGGAATACTGTTATTATTGGCTCCACATTTATCAGTGGGTAAAGTCTACTTGGCAGATATGTACAAAGACAAAATTACAGCTATCACATAAAGAATTGAAAGCCTTTTGTCAATAGAACAGCCTCCACTGCAGGTCTCTAATGGGGCATCTGGAAACTAACTTAGTGTCTCTTTTGATTGATTAAAATGGACCAAAACAGCAGATTCTTTTGCTTTGACTAATGAATGCAAAATTGCAATTTGTGTTTATTAGCAGCCATTGTTCACCGTCAAGCAAGGTGTCCACAGATGCTTAAATTAGCTTGCATTTTTAATAACAATCCTGTTTGTCTGCTGAAGCTTTTCCTCTGGTAAGATAATTATGAAGTTTTGCCTACAAATGCAATTTGCCTGCATGCATAAAGCCAAAAGTCATTCAGATTTGTCTTTTATTTCTTCATTTATCACACGTTACAGTACTTGTGTCTCTAGGAAAGATGCCCCAAGTGGAACATACCTTATTGCTCCATAACTAAAGTGTCTGTGATTATTGAGGCAGAACAATTTGGACCTCTGTTATTAACGCTAAGCATTAACATTCCTCTTGGAGCAAAATGTTCACCTATTCTCTCTGAAACAGAATGCATGTGGAGTGACTACAGAGCATTCTGATATAGCATTCCTAATGTGATTAATGTTTTGATTACAGATTCCTTTGTTCTCACATGTTTTCCCTAATTGGACAAACTTTCTATGAAGTATGTAAGAACTTCCATTTTGATTGTGTTTTTTTTTTCAAAGAAAAAACTCAGACTAACTACTGTATTTGTATCTTTTTAAACAATGTAGTTACTGAAAGTGTAACTTATTTTTTTAAGTATTGTGTGTATGCGTGTATGTAATGCCAGATGTAAAAACTATGCTAGAATGATTGTGCTAAACACTGTATAAGGGAACAACAACTGTGATTTGTAGACCACTTGGGATCAATCATAAAAGTTGTAGCTTATTTCTAAATACAACACAACTGTACAAAATGTCTGCTTAAGTGTTTTTTCTTCTAGCAGAACAATGCTCTAGCATTAGGGACTACTGATGCACACAGTTCAGAATGCTGACAAAATCATCTGCTTCCTTAAGGATATCCTGGCTTGGAGTAATATCTTGCTTTTCGTAGCAGAAGTGACCCTACATTTCTACTTCGTGGCAGTAATGTAAGTGAATGTTAACCAAAATAGTTGCAATAAGTAGGGGAAAGGAAGGAAGTATATTTGACTTTTCATCCTCAATGAGAACAATCAGCATACAAATGAAGCATCAACAACTCATCTTGTTTCCCAGCTGTAATGCCCCAGGAAATGTGTCTTACAACATATCAAGTGTTCAGTCATCTGCAGCCAAGCTGCAAATCATTCAGTGAGCTTATATTTTTGCCTTTTTTCCTCTCAATATGCCACCATTACAAAAATCAGAGATGCATATTATTAACAAAGTAATTAAAAACACAGTGAATAACATTTTCACAAAATTAAATTAATATAGTTTAGCTTGGGTATAAAGCTTCATGCAGTAAAAAAATATAATTAATAAATATAACTACTTTTATAGCATGTAAAACAGATGTTTTCTGAAAAGAAAACAAAAATCAAAAAGGCACCATGCAGGCTTTTCCTGATGCTATATATACTTCATGGTTTTTTCCCTCTCAAAAATTAAGAAGGGGTAACTTCAAAGGACCATTTTCTCACTGTGTAACATATTTCATATAGATGGAAGTTGAATAAGTATTAGCAAAATAATTTTTTACATTATTGTGATGGCGCAAAATGAAAAGAGCAAATACTTAAATGATTTTGCTGATTTCCAAAATGTTAAATCAGTCAATCTGGGTAAAGGACTACCAGAAAATCCCTAGAGCTAGTTCAAAAAGAAGAAAAATAATGACAAACCTCTCTCATACTCTTCTCACAGGAAATACATAGCCATGTCTATGAAATGATACAGAGAGAGGATCAACCCAGTGTGGATTTTTTTATGTTAAACTAATAAAATTAAATCAGTAAAATAATACTAGGCCGGCTGAAAACCACTTTCCTTTTTCTATTCTGCACAAACTGCCTCTCCCTGGAATGAAAAGCTGAGCACCGTGTTCCACTCTCAGTGCCAAACTTCTCTATACAGTTGGCTGTTTGCCCAAATTCTTCTGTGATTTTGGAAACAATAAAACATACGTTCTTGGCAATGTGAACTTCACAAGCAAAAAAAACCAAAACCACCAAGAAGCATCACTGCAGGACATCAAATTATTTCCATGTGACATGCATAAGGCCCAGCTGTGCTTGTGTTTTCCAGAACAGCGATTGCATGCCTAGTAGGGGACATGATAAGAGGATAGTATAGGAAGAGAGACCTTAATCTGATGTCATCCATCATGTACAGTATGCATGGAATGCCTGGAATACTGCAAATTGGTACGGCTAGAGTGGATGAATGTATTTTGATCATATTCAGAGATCTATTTCTAGGCCACTTTCAGGTTATGAAGGGAGAGTGCTGTAATGTAGAAGTATTTGCCTGCATGCTGCTACATTCTGGGTTATAGGGTCAAAAAAAAAGCCACAGCAATTGGAGAACCTTATTTCGATGTGAATTAAGTTTGTCTGAACTGTGCTGGAACAAACACAATTACTCTTTAAAGATCTGTAAAATTATATAGCACTGGCTCTTTAACTTGTATCAGAGGAGATAATATAGAAGCCCAGTGTATTTTATATTGAGGGAAAATGCAGCTTTAAACAGTGCAATATAACAACTAAGCATATGCTAAGAAACACCCCCTCCCCCACTCAAATATCATTTTAACAGCAAACTCAAGCATATAGACCAAACATCTGTGTTAAACTGTTAGATAGCCAAACTGTTAATCTAACATATCAGATTATCTTACAGTGCAAATGCAGAATATTGGGTTTGCTGAATAAATGATGGTTAAGAAGTTTTCTTTGCATAAGCATGTAAGCCTGTCATACCAAAGCAGCCACTGAACTGAATTACAGTTACCTAGCTTAGTCATGGGAATGATTATACTGCATCCTTTATATAGGCAATTTGCAAAGGGCTTTGAAATGGCACACATACACGAAGAAATAAATGCAAACAATGGCTGCTGTTGGCTGCTTCCTAACCATAACTGCCTCATCTACATTTGCAGACCCAAGTTGTCTACAGAGCAAAGAGCTGAAAAAAATCTCATAATGTTTTATGGATTCCCGTGTATTTTGGAGTCATGCAAAGTGTGAATTTAGGTTTCACGATACAATTGTAAGCAAGAACTGCCAAGTGATTTTTCCCAGATGCTGACTTCACTGAGCTTAGGCATGTCTTCTGCCTCTTGAGAGTTGCCTGATATTTAAGTTCCGTTTAATTCAATTTGCCAAAATGAGATTGCAGGCGAACTGGACAGAGGTTTACCGCCAACAAGTAGCATCACAACAGAAGATTCACAAATGTCTCCACATTCATTTTTCAGAGTGTCCAAGCTTGACCCTTCATCTGTTACAGTTATGGTGGCAAATTCCTGTTCCTTGGCAATGTTGAGATACGAGGTTCTTTCTTTACACAGCAACTCTGCTGCTGAATCTGAATTCAATTCTGCACTGGATGTGGTTTGATAGGAAGTGAATCCTAGAGAATCCTTTGAAGACTGGCAAAACGTTTTCATTTCTATGTCAGAGCCAGTCTCATTGTTGAGTATCT